GTCAGGGCGACTCTGTCAGGGTGGGCTCTGTCAGGGTGGGCTCTGTCAGGGCGACTCTGTCAGGGTGGGCTCGGTCAGGGCGACTCTGTCAGGGCGACTCTGTCAGGACGGCTCTGTCAGGGTGGGCTCTGTCAGGGCGGCTCTGTCAGGGTGGGCTCGGTCAGGGCGGCTTGGTCAGGGCGACTCTGTCAGGGTGGGCTCTGTCAGGGTGGGCTCTGTCAGGGCGGCTCTGTCAGTCTTGTGAGAGTTACGTGTTTACGTTCCACCACAACGTTTCCCCTCACTGTCGTGCAGAACATGAGTGAACTGTTTTGTGGCAGTCAGAATAAACACGATGTGCAGGGGGCTGCTGTGATTGGTTCAGCTCACAGTCACATGATCAGTCACATGTGGAGAAGAGGCTGTGATTGGAAAAAACTTTATTGGCAAAAATTGAATAATTACATATCAACAGATCGAAACAATATCACGACACAAAACATTACCATATATGCTGTATGGATTTTGGACGTTACTCCTACCTAAAATGAATCAGTCCACACAGAGGCGACTTGTATCTGTGAGGCTGTGGCTCCTCTGGCTCCCTTCCAGGACCTTTTTTTCATCTGTCAGGACTGATTACATCATCAACCCAGCAACAAGCTGGAGAGCTTGTGTGCATAGAAGTGTGTCACAGTGGGAAAGATGGACTGTGGCTTCATTTTGTAAAAAAACAAGATGACAAGGCAAAGTGCATGTTCATCGGCTGCAAGTCCGGTTGCAATCAAATCTGAAGCATTTACGGAAACATCAATGTTCACAAGTGTACCGCGAAGATGTCTTGCGGTCTCCGAGCCTGAGTGTGTCGGCCTGTGCCAGCACCAGCACATCGCCAGCACCTGCAGTAGTGTCAGGGACAGAAAGCCATGACACATTAGTCTTCAGTGTTTCTATGTATTGACTTCATCTGGTTGCAGCTCGTGTTGCTGCCACTGAATGTTTTTTAGTTTCAGCACTGTGTGAGTGAGTTTCCCTCTATAATGTCACCTGTTAACCACAAGGTGTCACTGCTGCTGCCACAGTGTAATATAAAGTCCAGGTCCTGTGTGTCGGTTGTGGCTCAATAAGTACAGTTTGACATTGACAATGTTTTCTAACACACGTCTGTGTGACTCGTACACTTACTAACACGTACTGACTCTGTGAATGTTCAGTTAATAGCCCAAATCTGCAGGAAAGCCCAATCAGTCTTTTTTCAGCATTGGCAGTATAAAAACAAAATCGGGGAGTGCAGCAAAATGCCGCCTACCTACTTTTGTTTATACAGAATGTGCCTTTTTCGGGGCAATGGGGGGCGTGAGCAAGTAACAAAACGTGTAGCTCAGCGTGTGACGTAAACAGTGACGTGGGAGGGAAGCCGCGGCTGGTCAGTCCTTCGGCGATTCTCTCGTAAGTCGGCCCGTTCTTCACCGTCCCCGTCATCTGACGGTTAATGGCCTCTTCGTTTGCGAGGACAAGGAGGGCGCGCAATTCCTTGTCTCCCCAGTTGCTCATCTTTACAGTGTCTGTCAGGTTTGTGTTTCCCTCTTGCTACTAGCTGCTCGCTAATTCCTGCTATCAGCTGTTTCCTGTTTATCCACCGCCAGTGGCTCGCACGTGCGGCGTCATCAACAGCTCCTCCCACAAGTCATCAACAGCCCCTCCCACAAGTCATCAACAGCTTCTCCCACAAGTCATCAACAGCTTCTCCCACAAGTCATCAACAGCCCCTCCCACAAGTCATCAACAGCCCCTCTTGTTGCAGTGGACCAAAAAGGTTCCACCAATATGTCTACCCTACAAGGCGGAAAATAGGGCACCTCGGATCAACTCGCCAATCCGGCTCTGTGTGTCTAAACGCTTGCAGCTTGCCAGCAAAACGGCCCAACATTCGCCGAAAATCTGGCAGTGTAAAAGGAGCTAATAATAATAATAATAACAGGTGACCTCTGTCTTCCCCGGTATTGGAATCAAACTTTGAGTCAATAAGAATTGGAATTGATAAAATTCAAATGATACATCACCCTGAAGCTGGAAACGCACCGGTGCTGTTGTGGCACATTAGGTGACCTGTGTCGAGTGTCGCCTTGAGCACACACCAGACAGGTCTTCAGACGCGTCCTTTGAAGGCTGCAGCCCTTAACTGAGACACAGCTGATGTGTTGGAATGTGCGTGACATCATGTCTGTTGTGTTCATGTTACTGTGTGGTGACCGAGACAGGACGCCATCACTGTCTCCGCTTGTACTTCCTGCAGTAGATGAACTTCCTGTGGATCTCCAGTGTTGGTTACAGACTGACATAAACTGAGTGTGTGATCCTGACGGAGCTGCAGCATGGACACTTGTATGGATCCAGATGTGGAGGCCTCAGCTGCCAGATGTTTTGGCCCAGCTGTGACCTCCCTCCTTCCCCGCTGCACTAATACCTCTGTAGATGTGCTGTATCTATATATGACATGTAGGTCCTGTGTTTGAGAGGCGCTTGCTCTGTGTGCACATATAATCCTTTTAAAGTAGTTCATACAAGCAATTATGGCCATGTGGGATAATGTCCCACTTAATCTTGGGGGGGATTATGTGGCGCGTTTATTCCTGAGGCTGAAATGTTTTCTCCTTCCCTCTGAGTGGGATCAGCTCGTTACTCCCATAAATGTCTTTTAATGATTACTGAATTAACTGCGCTCCACTTTCCCTCTAATGGACACACTCCTGCTCTTGTCCATCAGCCTTATTATCGCGCACATATTTGGCCGGTCTTGGCCTGGATGCTCGGAGATTACCCCGAATGGAGAGACTTATTGTTAATGCAGACCTCTGAGTGGTTAGCGGGGGGCGGTGGCAGCGGTCGGCGGCGTGCTAAGTGCCGGTGTTTGGCTTCCTGACCTAAAGCAGAGCGTCTCTGAGCGCCTGTTTGTTTTGTTTGGAAATAGCTTCTTAGAGGTGGGTGGTAAAGCTCCATGATACAGTTTCTGTCAGGCTCTTTCATCATCCGCCGGGGTCAGAGGTCGCTGCTAAAAGGCTCTAATGCACGCAGCCCAGTGACGGACGCTAATGTCGTCTTTGAGTTGACCTGAATAAGCAGATCTGTCCTCCGTCAGCTCACAACACGTCTTTACTCTCACCATTCATCTTCATGTATTCACTGAGCGTCCAGGAGGACTCGCTAATGTTCGTTAGCTTGTTAACACACAGAATATTCATAACAGGTAACGTTCTACAGACACACGTTTGTGATCAGCTGTTGAGTTTGTTCACACGTACATTTACAGAACATACAGCAAAGAGAAATGAAGTGACGTCTGATATTGAATAACTACAATCATACGCAACAAGGAAAAGATGATGATGATGATGATGATGATGATGATGGTGATTGTAGAGATGGAGGAAGGTCGTTCCAAACAGATGCTTCTCTGTATTTCAATGAATATTTATTAAGAGAAGTTTTGACGGAGCAGAAGAAAGTCCTCAGAGTGTGATGTGAATATGACTGAGTGTCTGGAAAACACTCGACACATCGGACCATCATTATTACATGAGCTGGGATCACCTGTTTTGAATCGTGGTGTGACTTTAAGATCACTTTAAGGTCAAGGTCCAACACCTGTTCTGAGCGCTAAACTTCAGCCATGTGAGGCTCAACGACAGATAAAAGTGTTGATGAGGCTGGATGTTGTTTCATCACAGCCTGCAGTATGTGACCGTCAGGATAATGTTCTGCTCCTCCTCAGAGGGACGATGCTCTCACATGAAAGTTCATGGATACTGGCTGATATTTAAACTTTATTGATACAGCACTTTACATACAAAAATAATGCAACACAAAGTACTTCACACAATAAACACACACACACACACACACACACACACACACTCTCACTTCACAAGCTGAAGATATCTTTCTTGTCTCTGAGGAGCAATTTGTGGTGCAGCCAGCAGCAGAACAATAGAAATAACAATGACAGGAAGTGAGAAACATCGGAGGCATGATACTCACAATGCAAAACAATTTTAGATTTGTTAATAAGTGAGTAAATTAAATACTATACATAAATAAGTGATGAAATAGAAGAATATGTAAGCTGAAGAGAGAGATTAACAAAAATAAATAAATACACAATGATCATAAATACAAAATTTAAAAATAAATATTAATAATATTAATAATAATAATGAAATAAAATAAAAGCCAGTTCCATTTAAAGCCAGGCTGAGTTTGTTTTTAACTTACACATTTACCAATATTTAAAAAAAATCACTAAAACCATTGTTAATATCAGAAGGGAAAGTAAAGTAACTCAGTAAAATGTTTTTAATATATTTTTAATCAAATTCAATATTTATTGTGGTGGGGCTCACAGCTGACTCATATATGATTCATATTTAGTGACAGGATGTTTGTAGACCTGCAGTGAGTTATTGCACTTATATTTTCTGGTCATGTGTCGAATATAGATGTAAATATATGAATAAATGTGAGATGAAGAGATTCGGCGTCATGATGACAGAACATGACACCTCCTCCATCAAGGCTTTAAATGAGGTGAACTCATCGTCAGGTCGTCTCAGTTAGATAAATACATCTGGTCCTTCAGTAATGACTGTGGAGACAGTCTGGCTTTGACAAGACAACAATAACAATAATGATAATAATAATAATAATAATAATAACAATAATAAGACAGAATCTTTTCCTATGAAGCTGCTTCAAACACAACAGACAGTGATGGAGCAGCTGTGGCTGACTCATATGATGTCATATGATGTCATATAACACGTTAACACACCTTTTTATTCACTCCTTCACTCTATGAGATCATATCTATGATTTTGTATTCATACGTTGTTTCTGAATTCACTGTCTGACATAGTAACCATGGAAACACATGTAAATGTGTTGATGGACTCTGTCTCTGTGTCTGCAGGGATCTCTGCCTGGATCACTGTCAACTTCCTCACTGGTGACCACACACACACACACACACACACACACACACAGTGTATATATATGCTCAGTAACAGGAAGTGTGTGTGATAAGATTAATGTGCAGTAAAGAAACAGTGATCACCTGTTATTGTATTAAACTGGAGCTCTGTGTCTGTCCCTGTCTCTGTCTGCCCCCCCCCCTCTCTGTCTCTGTCTCTGTCTCTGTCTCCAGGTGACCTCCACAGTGTGGACTCTTCCACAGTGGGGATGTTGGACCTGGGTGGGGGGTCGACTCAGATCACCTTCAGCCCTCAGGACGAGGTGAGGACGAGGGACACTGACACACACAGAGGACACTGACAGGCTGCAGTTCATCATCTCATCACCACACACATCTTCATCTCCTCCTCTTCCTCCTCCTGTGAGGGGTGGGGTTAAACTGTAACACATGAAGTGATTAGAAACACCTCAGCATCCCCGTAGTGTCCTCTGTCCTCCTCTGGAGCTGTGAGAACTCTCAGAGAGGACATGCCCTCTGAGGAGCTCCGCCCAGAGCTGTAAACCTTCAGGGGATTTTTCTGTTTGAATTCACACCACCAGCAGGAATGCTGAGGTGACTTTCTGTAAGCCGCCCCGGCAGTCGGCATAGCAACGTCACATTCACCGTCGGAGGTTATGTTTTCAGGTTGTTTGTCCCATTCTCTCAAACGTGATATCTCAGGAATTTCTTCAGATTTGTCACCAACGTCCGCTCGGACTCAACAAAGGACTGATTAGATATTGGTGGTCAAAGGTCAAAAGTCAAGGTCACTGTGACCTTGACTGTCTCATTCTTGTGAACATGATATCTAAAGGTGTTGAAGGAATTTCCACAAATTTGGCTCAAATGTCCACTTAGACTGAAGAATGAAGTGATGAGAGTTTGGTGTTCAAGGTCAAAGGTCACTGTGACTTCACAGAACATATTTTTGGCCATAATTGATAAATGTTTACACAAATTATAACAAACTCATGTCTGATGATTTTGTGTTTGTGTGTGTGCAGAAAACCATCCAGACCTCACCCATCGACTACATCAGGTCCTTCCAGATGTTCAACAACACACACACTGTCTACACTCACAGGTACACACGCACACGCACACACGCACACACTTCATTCACCCTGCACTGTTCAACAGCAGTGTTCACACTGTCAGAGGATAATTGAATCAATACGTGAATCAATACCTGAATCAATAAGTGAATCAGTAACTGAATCAATACCTGAATCAATAACTGAATCAATACCTGAATCAATAACTTAATCAATAAGTGAATCAATAACTGAATCAATAACTGAATCAATAAATGAATCAATACCTGAATCAATAAGTGAATCAATACCTGAATCAATACCTGAATCAATAACTGAATCAATACCTGAATCAATAAGTGAATCAATAAGTGAATCAATACCTGAATCAATAACTGAATCAATACCTGAATCAATAAGTGAATCAATACCTGAATCAATAACTGAATCAATAAGTGAATCAATACCTGAATCAATGAGTGAATCAATAACTGAATCAATAACTGAATCAATACCTGAATCAATACCTGAGTCAATATCTGAATCAATACCTGAATCAATAAGTGAATCAATACCTGAATCAATAAGTGAATCAATACCTGAATAAATAAGTGAATCAATACCTGAATCAATAAGTGATTTAATACCTGAATCAATAACTGAATCAATAAGTGATTCAATACCTGAATCAGTAACTGAATCAATACCTGCTCTGTCTGCAGTTATCTGGGTCTCGGCCTGATGTCGGCTCGTCTCACAGTGTTAGGAGGCGTGGATGCTTCTCCTCGTACGTACCTTCATTCTTCCTCTGTGGTTTTTTCTTTCTTGTTTTTCAGTTTGATTCATCCTCGTCTTTTTACCCCCCCACAACACACACACACACACACACACACACACACACACACACACACACCAGATAAATAAGCCATTATCTAATCTTTTAATAACACAGCAAGATTAATTCTTCCTCTGCTCTGCCAGCTGTTACTGCTGCAGGACACACATACAGCCTGTCTGTCCCTCTGTCTGTCTGTCTGTTTGTCCGTCCCTCTGTCTGTACCTCTATCTGTCTGTCTATCCGTCAGAGCTGATAGTTATCAGAAACATGTCCGCTCTGCTCATATATATGTATATATCATGTGCGCAACACAGTCAGAAACATGTCCGCTCTGCTCATATA